TTATATCTAACATTACCCAGGATATAAATACTTTTAGCCATTTTTTTTCCAACATGTTCAATATGAGATTTCCATGTTAACTTGTCATCCACTATTACACCCAGAAAATGGAATTGTGTCACTCTTTCAATTAATTCTCCCTCTATAGATGATACTATCTCTTCCTCCTTTAGACGGTTTCTGAATATCATAAACTTTGTTTTTTCCAAATTCAGCGATAACTCATTTACTTAAAACCATTTTTTAATTCAATTATTTTTTTTAATTTAAGTTAACTCATTCATTTCAATAACCATAATTTTACCAATTCTTTCAAGTTTTCTCCAGAACAATAAAGACTTGTATCGCCTGCAAACAAAACGAAATGTAACATTTTTGAAACAACACAAGTGTTGTTTATATATAAATTAAAAAGTTTTGGTCCTAAAACATAACCTTGAGGGACCCCACATTCTATTTTCATTCTTTCAGATGAAGCCTAAACACTGCACATACTGAAACCTATTATCTAAATAGCTGCTTAACCAGTTCAACACTATTCCTCTCACACCATAAGTACTTAACTTGGAAATTAAGATGGAGTGTTGCAGTGTGTCAAAAGCTTTTTTTAAATCAATGAATATCCCTATAGTATATTTATTATAATGTGTTGCTGATGAAATGTCTTCAATAGTATTCATTAATGCTATTGCTATTGATCTGTTCCGTCGAAATCCGAAATGTATCTATTATTGTACGATCTACTGTACGATATAAAGGGCCTTAAGGCGACTGTTGCTGTGATTTGGTGCTGTATAAATAAAATTGAATTGAATAAAAACTTAGAGTTCACCAGGTGGCATCAAAGACATTGAAAAGTGATGGATTTATAATTGACTGTGAACTTTTAGATATTATCAGTTAGACTGTTCTATTACATCCCATCTGTCCACAATTGAAGTCTGTGATCTGGTTGACTGGGAAATTATAGTGAAATGAGGTTGACCCAGAAATTCTGCTAAAAAGCCAATATTGAAATTAGTATTTATCTTTAAGTGGAAAAAAGGAGAACACCACTGCTCAGCAAAAACAACACAAACACTCATCTCACATCTGCCACAAACATCTGGATGATCCTTGTGGAAAACTTTCTTTGGATTGAAGAGACAAAAGCTGAACTCTATGGAAGGTTTGACTCCCGCTACATCAGACATCAAACTAACAGCATTTCATAAACAGAACATCACAGCAGCAGTGAGATGTGATGTGATGGTCTGGGCTGCTCTGCTGCTTCAGGAAAACATGAATTCTGCTCTCAGAAATCCTGAAGGAGGATGTTCAAACACCATTTTATGTCCAGAAACTCAAGAGCACTCAGGTTACGCAGAGAGACCAGCAAGTCCAACTCTGAATGACTCAAATAAATAAAATCAAGGTTTTGGAGTTTCCAAGTCAAAGTCTAAATCAGACTGAATCACATCAAGTGTATTTGGGATGAACTTGAAAAACCTCCAATGTGGCTGAATTCAATCAATTCTGCAAAATATACATAACCAAAACTCCTCCATAGTGATGTGAAAGACTCATTACCAGATTCTGCATACTTACGTTTGTGGAAATGCAGGAGAAATCTGCTCTCTCTTTCTAGTCCCTGACAGCATTTTGGATCAGCTGAAGGCTTTTCAGGGAGTTTTTAGGAGATCCTGATAATAATGAATTACAGTCGTCCAGCCTGGAAGTAATAAATGCATGAACTAGTTTTTCAGCGTCACTTAACATAAAATTATTTGAACATTACCTAATAAGACTGATTCAGGACAGACAATTAGTTATGTTAAACTTTCCTAGCAGTCTTTCACAAACAGGGAACAGTCTGTCTATTCTCTCCATCTGTCAGTTGCTGCTGGCTCTTCCTCCTCCTCTTCCTCACACACTGCTGAGTTTGTCCTGGTGGATCATCAGGGGTGCAAAGCCTCACAGATGATGTGCAGCAGTGGGTCCCTCAGTCTGTCCTCACTCTGGACACTTGCAGTTGTCACACATGGAAATCAAATGTGTGATAAGCTGCAGGATTCAAAAACATGTGTAACTTATAAATACATTTTCACTGCTACACAACAGCACCAGAGAAGCAGGATTTAGTGTTTGTGTTATTACGAGTGCTAAACAAGAAGAGTTCCCAGATGGTGCAGTGGACACATGTGTGACTGCTGTGATTAAAGCATCTTTCAGCTTAACGAGTGAACCGTCAGCTCATTCAAACACACGTTAAAGTCCGTTTGGCTCGACACCACCGAACAGAGGCAGCAATATAATACAGCTAACATTAACAGTGCAGTGAATCCTGTTTGTGCCGTGATATTCATGACTGCAAACCGAGCAGCATCACTGACTTTCAGCTTGTTGTGTTTGTGGATATATGACTGACTTTAATTATCCATAAAATCATCACATTCTCTGTAAGATTAAGGTTGACTATTGAACGGCATTTATTTTACAGTAAAGGCTTTAAAACCAAGTTAGTACAAACATTAATAATAATGGATTGCATTTATATAACGCTTTATATATATCTATATATATCTATATATATATATAGTCAATAGGCGGTGGTTTACGACACCAACTGTCTGCCATCTATAATCCAGTTTTGAGATCCCTTACCAGACGCCTTAACACCCACTCACATCCTGGGCCATTTCACCTCAGGAAATCACATGATAGGGTGGGACCAGGTTTCACAATGAGCTCACCCGGAACTCTGACTGATTAGGTCCCAAACCCGCTTTCACACCTTGGCTCATGTGATTAGGTAGAGGATCATCAGGGGGTCCTTTGTCCCCGTTTGGAGGGAAACTCCCACTAGGTTCAAATCTGGGACTCTCCACCATTTGACCTTAGAACTGAAGAAGCTTCTCGGATGAGAGGTGAAACGTCTTCAAGCAACTCAAAGAAGTCCAGACGCTTTTCTTTCCAAGCACCTTAGTCTACAATGACCCGGATGACTGAGAACCTTCACAGACACTATTAATTACTATTAAACAAATGACTGATTTTAGACTTTAGTTTACTTCAGCCATATTCCATATAACTCAGGTATCATACAAAAATAAAAATAGCTTCAAATACAGTCATGACAATAAAAGAATATGACCTTAAGGACTTAACAACATTACTTCAGTTATTGTACACCAACGTCTCTCATACTGTACATTAGTACTAAGGGAACACTGCATTACCTGGTGGTTTTTGTCTAAGATTACCACAAAGTAAAAGGTCTCTCAGCAAAATCATGCAACATTTTAAATGGCCTGTATTTGTATAGCGCTTTACTAGTCCCTAAGGACCCCAAAGTGCTTTACACATCCAGTCATCCCTCTGGCCCTCTGACCACCACCAGTAGGCAACGTGTAACGTATCTTGCCCACGGACACAACGACCGAGACTGTCCAAGCCGGGGCTCGAACCGGCAACCTTCTGATTAAAGACAAATGCCCAACTCTTAAGCCACGATCGCAATAGGCACACTATTGCCCCTATCAAATCAGTGAGCTGGGATTTTTTATTCTAAACATGAACTACTGTTACAGCAACAGACATGGACTACTGGTGCCCCACACAACAACTCAATGTCCACTATGTGAAGGAGCCAAACACATGCCTTCTCCTCTCATTAACTGAGATAAAGTGCTGGCATATTTGTTTTACATCTATACTGTCCAGTCTCTCCTGGTGGACATAGCATCACGTTATTCATGGTTACATACAATTTTAGACTGATGTGGGCCAAAGCCTAGCACATACTTGCCAACCTGGGATATGGTTTTTCAATTTTGTTGTCCGGGTGGAAAATCAGGAGAAATTGGGGAGAACGACAGCTCTGGGAGATTTTCAGGAGGGGCATTGAAATTCAGGATTCTCCCAGAATAATCGGGAGTGTTGGCATGTATGGCCATGAAAGGCACAGCCAATCACATTGGCCATATTTGTCACATGAGGTAGGACTCCAGTAGAGAACGTAATTTAACTCTTTTTGCACCGCTGGGTGAATGAGTCGTTGACAGATCTTTTTTTTTTTCTTTCTATCGGGTTTGTTTTTCTTTACTCGAAGAGGTCAAATTATAGGTGGGGACAATTCAATAATCGCTGGATATTGGTGGGGACATGTCCTTTCTGTCCATGCCAAATCTACGCCCTTGATCTTATCATTATCTATCGTTCACACATAGATGAATCATTAGCAACATGGGTATCTTGGGCAAGATACCTACCAATGACTATGAGTATCTTGGGCAAGATACCTACCAACCTGGTCTATCACCTGAGTTACAGCCACACACTGAAACTTGTTTTAAAGTCTTAGAGGAAATTCAGTGTATCAACTCTGGTCAAAAGAATCCACGCTTCGTACTGATGTCCACAATTCTTTTTTATTCCTCTCACTTACTCTCACAATCATGAAGCACCGTGAAAACTAGAAACAAGTAAAATAATATTAAGAGCACATACGACATCCATCTCAACCAGTTATTACTTTTCACAAAGTGCACAAGTGCTTAACAAATTAGCCAGCATGTTTTTACTGTGTACGCCTTGTAAAACCAGCAGTAGAGAAGTTGTAGATTCCATGTTCCGTGTTATCGTTGTCTTGTCTCTCTTGTCTCACAACTTCCAGTTCCCGCGACTCACAGGAAGGAACTACTTCAGAATAATTTTTAACAGAAACATTTTTTATAAAAATGTATCACTGGACTCATAGATTATCTCTTTCTACTGTAAGTGTACACAAACATGAGTCCCAAATACAGGAAAACAAATAGAAAACAATACAACAATCTCAGACACGCTTCTGGTGTTGTCATGGCAACCCACACAAACATTTTATCATCAGCTACATTCAGTATGGTCACTTGTTATTGTTAGCCCCTTCCCAACCACTTCTGTCCCAATTTCAGTCCCATCAGTCCAATATGTATGCCAACATGCCAGAGGGCCAAGGAGTGTTAAGACTTCAAACCTGCCTACAACTCATCCTTCTCGTTTTGCTTACTGCCGTCTGCTGGTGGACCACCTGCACTACCACAGAGCTGACTGATAATGGACTGAACCACTTCCTCAAGCTCCTTCTTCTTGGTCTGGAAGTCATCCAGGTCAGCATCTTGGTGGGACTCCAACCATTCAATCTTCTCCTCCACTGCCTTCTCAATGGATTCAATCTGGTTCTTCAGGGAATATGCGTAGCCTTCCAGCTCATTGTGAGCATTGATCCTCTCCTTCAGCTTCTTGTCTTCTTCAGCAAAGTGCTCGGCGTCGTTCACCATGTGTTTGATGTCCTCAGGTGTCAGCCAGTTCTGGTCAGTTATGATCTCGTTCTTGTTTCCTGTGGCCTTGTCCTCAGCAGTGACACATAAAATGCCATTGATATTAATCTCAAAGGTGACTTCAATCTGCGGTATACCACGAGGAGCAGGAGGGATGCCAGTCAGGTCAAAGGTAGCCAGGAAATGGTTGTCTTTGGTCAAAGGATGCTCACCTAAGAAAAAGAAAAACAGTCACAATTAGACTTGTGGAACGTTAAATTCCAGTGTCACACATTTCTTGTCATTGAATCCTTTTTTATAAAAACACTATTTGGCAACTTTAAAAAAACAACATCCAAGCTCTTACCTTCATAGACTTTGATGGCGACAGTTGTCTGGTAATCAGAGGGTGTAGTAAACATCTGGGCTTCTTTGATGAGCACCACTGTGTTCCTGGGGATCAGCTTGGTCATTACTCCTCCAACAGTCTCAACACCAAGGGTCATGGGGCACACATCCATAAGAAGCACATTACCTGCAAGTGAGGGAAAAGGTTTACTAAACATTTGATCACATTTGAAAGCTCAACCCTATTTAATAAAATATTTGTAAGAGTCATTATTCACCAGTGTCCTCCTCTCCAGAAAGCACACCAGCCTGCACAGCAGTTCCGTATGCCACAGCCTCATCAGGGTTAATGCCTCTACATGGCTCTTTGCCATTGAAAAACTCCTTCACCAGCTGCTGGATTTTGGGGATACGAGTGGAGCCTCCAACCAGGACAATCTCATGAATGTCAGACTTCTTCAATTCAGCATCTTCCAGCACTTTCTGTACAGGCTTCAGGGTGGACCGGAACAGGTCCTGGGTTTTAAAGAACACACAAGTTAAAAAGCTTGTTCAACCGCTTTTCCAAAAGGGTTTGAATTAATTAACCAAATTAATATCTTACCATGTTCAGCTCCTCAAACTTGACACGAGTCAGGGTCTCAGAGAAGTCTTGTCCTTTAAAGAAGTACTCGATCTCAATGTGGGTTTGGTGCCGGGCAGATAGCGCCCTCTTGGCCTTCTCGACCTCACGACGCAGCTTCTGCACAGCACGGTTGTTTTTGCTCACATCTTTGCCAGTCTTCTTCTTGTACAGCTCGATGAAGTGCTCCATGATACGCTGGTCAAAGTCCTCACCTCCCAGATGAGTGTCACCATTGGTGGCTATCACTTGGAATGCACCATTGTCAATGGTCAGAATAGAAACATCAAAGCTGCCACCGCCCAGATCGAAGACAAGAATGTTCTTCACTCCATCCTTCTTGTCCAGGCCATAAGCAATACCAGCAGCAGTTCTAAAGAATACAGTGAGAATTTATTTTTCAATAGGAGGGCAGGGACATTGTTTTGCAGTTTCAAATTGCAGATGATCAAATTCATTTTTGACTGGATGCTTACGCCTCATTGATGATTCGCACAACATTCAGACCAGCAATGGTACCAGCATCCTTAGTGGCCAGGCGCTGGGCATCATTGAAGTAGGTTGGGACAGTGACCACAGCATGTGTGACCTAAGGAAAAACGATAAAGTCAGATTTCATGATAGACCATTTAACTCTTTAACCCTTTAAGACCTACCATAGAACCAAGTCCGCCACAGCTTATCTTCATATTTTTATATCCTGTAATGCCATTTTTGGGAGAATTTCAAGTTGCTATACATCAATACAATCATTATATAGCAAATTTAATGACACTGTGCTGCCACTGCTGGGGTGCAGTAGCTCCACCACCCCACTAGGGGGAGGAAGCGGGTTTGTGTACTCAAGTTTCGCTAGTAAATATAGAAAAAGTTCATGGAGTCTGGCCAAGTTGATACCAGCACACAAAATATTAGCTCTGAAGTTGGCTGTACTGGAGCATGAGAAATATATGCTTGTAAGTACGATTATATTCTGTGTTCATGTTAAGCATGTGATGTAAAATGGGTTGTTGACTCTCATATTTGAAGCCGACATGTTAGCTGCACTGCCGATGCTAATTGTGTTAGCATGTCAATAGGAAATTCCATTATGTGTTAGCATCAAGCTAGCGGGATTTGGCGTTAACATGTTTTCATTTATTTTTCTTGGTTATGCCAGCTATAGTTCAAGTTGCTAAGTCTTCAGTCTGTACTTTGTAATGTGAGAAATATATTATGTTCCAGATGTATGTTTTAATATGCTTTTCTTATGTTTGTAGTTTTACAGTGCCTTCATTAGGGAGACAAATAAACCCTGCAATGAGAACTGGAAGCCTTTGCCTCTCCTTTTGAAGAACTGTTTATCTATCTGCCAAACTGGGCATCAACGTACAGGGAGGGCAGAATAGACACAAATGCATTAAGTCCTTAGTAACTATAAAGAATTGCAAAAAATTGCAATGAACTACAAAGAAATATAAATTATTATAAATTATTTATTATACAATAAAGTTGCACAAAGTAGTTTCCAACCACAGGAAATTTATTTTGAGGGTCTTCATAGTTTTATTTTTGAGATACACCAACTTTTAAATACTGTGGGGAAAATATGAATTAAATATTACATTTCCAATTTGCAAAACAAACAGCATGTTCATCAAAAAAAACGATTTCCAACAGTGCGATTTGAGGTCTAAGCATCCCAGAAACTAAACAAAAAAGCATAAAGTCAAACATAACTTTTAAAATCACCAGTATAGGCCTATAACAGTCTTAAAGGGAAAAACTACATTACCCACAAAATATGACATCACTTCTGATTTTGGGCAGGGGATGGAGGACATGCGATAATTGGCACTGACGTCTATTCCAAAATGGGAAGTGCTATGAACAGCTGATCTGATCAGCAAAACGTGTTTCTGAAATATAAGGTTTTATTGCTGCAAGTGGTTGCAATCTTTGCAAAGCCATATTTGGAAGGAGACCGAGGACAAGTTGAATGCATAAGATGTAAGTGTCATGGTCCTGGGTCGGCGACCCAGCGCTTTAAGTTTATTATTATCATTTTCCAATTTATTATCATGATTATTATTATTGTTTGAGTTCTACGTGTTACATTCGGTCTGCCTCTGAGTCTGCGTCTGTATCTCTGTCTGTCTATGGTGTCACCCCGTCTGTTTGTGAAGCTGTCTGTTCAGTTCAATGTCTTGTCTGGTTCCATGTGTCTGAGTTTCCTGTTTTATGGTGAAGGTCTGTATCGTAGGTGAGTGTGCTCAGTTCACTTTAGTGTTTGTTTTTGTACCAGCAATTAAGCTGAGGATTTTGAGTTTCACGTTTGTGTCTGAGTCCTGCGTTTGGATCCTCCTCTCTGCCTGCCCGCACACAGAGCCTTGACAGAACGACGCGACCAGTAATGGATCCAGCGGACTCACTGTGGAAGCGCAGCTCCCGTTTTGACGGGACCCGGTTAGCGCTTGGAGGGCCTCCGTGCTGCCGTTCCTCGCTGGCAGCCTACCCTTCGGCCCACTCGTCTGCTTCCTCCCCGCGGACGCCCCGGTCTCGCAGAAAACGCTCCAGCCGGTCCCGGGAGGATTACTACGAGCCTGCAAGCAACCAGCTTACGCCTGCACAGGCGGTCTACAAGATGTTAGGAATCATTATTGTGCCACCCGACTCACCCAGCGATTCCATACCGCAGGAGGAGCAGCCGCTGCAGAGTTTTGCCACGTCACCCTCAGCCAGTCCCGATCCCTCTTTGACGGGAAAGCGGCGGACCCGCCGCCAGCATTCACAGCTCCAGTGGGAGCCTAGGACTTTTTCTGAACAGCTGGCTAGGGTGAGTGGTGGGGCCACTCTTTCGCCCCCTTCTGAAATAGGGGGGCAGCATGCTCTTTGTTTGTTACGTGTCCGTCTGTAATTAGTTGTTTTTAAAAGATTTTTTTTGTATTTTGTATTTTTTAATCTATCTCTTAACGTATTTCTTAACTAATTTTTTTTAACGTATATATATATTTTTTTTATTTTATTTTATTTTTTTTTAACCAGACAGTTAATATTGCATAGATTGTTTGGAAAAATGTGTGGTTGGTAGATGCTTTGGAAGTTGATGGATGCATCTTCCTGGAGCTAACAGGCCTAGCCTGGCCCTGTATCGTCCTCCTGGAGTTATTTGGCCTAGACCCGGCTCTATTCCGTCTTCCAGGAGCTAACTGGCTAGGGTCTGGCCCTGCACCGTTCTCCAGGAGTCAATTGGCTTAGGCTTAGGCCTGGCCCTGTGCCATCCTTGTGGAGCTAACAGGCTAAGGACCAGCCTCGCATTATCCTTGTGGAGTTAACTGGCCTAGGTCCGGCCTTGTACCATCTCCCACGAGCTAACTGGCTTAGGCCTGGCCCTGCACCATCCTTCAGGAGCTAATTGGCTTAGGCCTGATCCAGCATCTTCCCACAAGAGCAAATTGGCTAAGATCTGCCCCTGCACTGTCCTCCAGGAGTAAACCGGCTTAGGCCTGGCCCAGCGCTATCCTTTTGGAGTTAACTGGCTTGGGTCTGGTCCTGTACCATTTTCCTGGAGCTAACTGGTTTGCTTCACCCAGAGGTCTGTACTGTTCACTTCTGTTAAGTACTAAAATTGTGGATGATGGCAGTATTTACTATTCTTATATGCCTCTTGGCCTTTTTGGACCCTCGGATAAGCAATTGCTTATGGACACATAGCAGGGGAACCTCTGAAAATGATTTTTACCTATAAGAGAATTCTGAAAAAGGCACACGCTCTATAATGCTGCAAAAATCAGAGCAGTTATCAACTCAGTTGGATCATGACATTAGTTTTATGCATATTTTGCCCAGAGACTTACCTAAACTTCAGTCTATTCTGGCTTTGCATACTTATTTTATTTGCCCATTTAATGGAGGTTTCAGCTCAGGTTCAACGTATCAAAGCATTGAACCCAAATCAAAGGCGAAACAGAGGTTGTTGATTGTCTTGCTTCTACTTTTGTCAGGAAATGTGCAACCAAATCCTGGCCCTGAACTGCAATATTCCCAGACTCCTCCTGATTTTAAAACAATGTCTGGTGTCAAATATATTCATCTTAATGTGCGCAGCCTACTACCGAAGATGGACATGGTCAAAATTTGGGTTAAATCTACAGATGCAGATGTTGTTATAATCTCTGAAACTTGGTTAACTAAATCTATTACTAATGAAGACATTAATATATATGGGTACAATGTATATCGCACTGATATGCCAAAAAAAGGTGGCGGTGTAGCTATTTATGTCAAATCAAGATTTAATGCTTCGATTGTTCTGTCCCAATCGATATGCAAACAAATGGAGTTTTTGGCCTTGAATGTAGATATTGCTAATACTTTTTCGATAACCATTGCTGGGTGTTACAGGCCCCCATCTGCTTCAAAAGAAGCATTATCTTCATTAAAGCACCTTTTGGCTAAATTAAATTATACTGAACTACTAATGGCTGGAGACTTGAACTGGGACTGGCTAAATGCAACTTCTGGTGAATTTAAAGATTTCTGCGATTCAATTAATCTTACCCAGCTAGTCTATCTTCCTACCAGGCCAAATCTTAAATGCCCTGAAAAGTCTACATTAATTGATTTGGTTTTAACAAAGGTACCTCGTAAATTCTCTTCGCTTGGTGTCTTCTGTAATGACCTAAGTGATCACTGTGTTGTTGCTGTTTGCAGACATGCTAAAATTCCAAAATGTAAGCCACGCATAGTGTGCAAAAGGAATCTTAAACAATTTAATGAACAGGCTTTTCATCATGATCTGTCATTAATTAATTGGGAAAAAATCGGACTATTACCAGATGTAGAGCTAGCTTGGACATATTTTAAGGAAAGTTTTATGGGAATTGTTAATAAACATGCCCCCTTACGGAAAGTTAGAATTAAAGGTCGAGAAAATCCCTGGTTTTCGCAGACACTCGCAGATAGCATACACGAGCGTAATAGAGCATGGGACAAGGCAAGACAAACAGATACTTCCACTGATTGGTCTGTTTTCAAACAGCTTAGAAATAAATGTACTTCTCTTATTAAAAAGGCCAAATCTGAATATTTTTTGTCTGTCACCACTGAGAACCTCAATGATCCACAGAAATTTTGGAAAGTAATCAAGTCTTTTTCCGCCAATAAAATGACTCAAACCTTTCCTAAATCTGTTGTAAAAGATTCAGTCTCAATTAATGATAAAACTGAAATTTTGAATTGTTTTAATGAACATTTTCTATCAGTGGGTTCCTTGTTTGATTCTGCAGAAACTTTTTTAACAAATACTTGCCCAGAACTCTCTATGTTTTCTGGAGACCGTTTTAACTTTGTACCTTTTAGTGTTTATGAAGTGCATAAAGCTTTAAAGGCTTTGGACCACAGAAAACCTCCTGGTCCAGACTTGATGGAACCTTATTTTTTGAAGTTGGCAGCTGATTTTATTGCAGAACCACTCTCAATTCTATTTAATTTTTCAATTAAAACCAAAGAAATTCCATCGGTTTGGAAATCAGCTTTTGTTTTGCCTTTATTGAAAGGAGGAGATCCATCAGTGTTGACTAATTATAGGCCAATATCAAATTTGTGTGTTTTATCCAAAATCCTGGAATCTCTAGTTTGTGACCAGCTGAAAGAGTTTTTGTACTCTAATGATATTGTCTCCAAATTTCAGTCAGGCTTCAGGAAAAAACACAGTACTAATACTGCCACTATGAAAGTGATAAATGATATTATTGTGGCACTTGATAAGAAATTGTACTGTGCGTCACTCTTTATTGACCTCTCAAAAGCTTTTGACACTGTTGATCATGCAGTCCTAAAAAACAGACTGCTCAGCCTTGGATTATCAGAACATGCATTAGCGTGGTTCTCAAATTATCTAAATAATAGAACCCAGTGCATTAAACTTGAAGGTCTTTGTTCTAAATTTGTTACTGTCCACAAGGGGGTGCCACAGGGCTCAGTTTTGGGTCCCCTTCTGTTTCTTTTATATATCAATGACTTGGGTCAAAATGTCTCAGACACAAATTTGCATTTTTATGCTGACGACACAGTTATTTACTGTTATGGATCATCTCTTGCTCAGGCCATTGAAACTCTACAGAAAGCCTTTGTTGCTTTCCAGCATTCACTTATTCAGCTAAAATTAGTTCTCAATGCTGACAAGACTAAGTTAATGTTGTTTTCCAAGTCAACGAAGGTCCCGGAGCCTATTCCAGTGGTGTCCACCCTTGAAGGAAATGTCATAGAGATAGTTCATGAATATAAATACCTTGGTGTCTGGATTGATGACTCCTTCACCTTTAAACTACATATAGAGAAACTAGTAAAGAAACTGAAACTTAAACTTCGTTTTTTCTTCCGTAATAAACAATGTTTTTCTTTTGCAGTAAAAAAACGTCTTGTCACTGCAACCTTTTTATCTGTGTTAGATTATGGTGACATTCTGTATATGAACGCTTCTTCTTCATGTCTTTTAATATTGGACACGATGTATCATGCTTCCTTGAGGTTTATTGCCAACTGTAAATACCTGACCCATCACTGTGATTTGTACTTAAGAGTAAAATGGCCTTCTCTGGCCATTAGAAGACAGGGGCATTGGTACACTTTTATTTACAAAGCTATGCTTGAATTGCTGCCTCCTTATATTTGTACTTTGGTCACAAGGACAAATAGTGGCTCTTACTCCTTGCGCTCAAATGATCAGCTGCTGTTGTCTGTTCCCTTTGTCCGCACAGAGCTGGGGAAGAAAGCCTTTGTCCACTCTGCGCCTTATTCATGGAACATGTTACAGAAAGACTGGAAACTGACTGAATTGTTGTCTTTAAATGTTTTTAAAACTAAACTCAAACGCCTACAGGCTGCCTCAATAATGTGTAATTGTTTTGTGTAATTTTAACTTTGTTTGTTCATATGTCTTTGTCTTGAAATGTGCTGCCTCTTGGCCAGGACTCCCTTGAAAAAGAGTTCTTTGATCTCAATGGGACATTCCTGGTTAAATAAAGGTTAAATAAAAAAAAAATAAGAACTGTAAATGAAAGGAGTGATTATTTGAAGGACAATTCTCCCGGTTCATTGCACTATTTAGACTGTCCCATACCTCACCTTTCTAAACCTGTCGATGAAACCAAGGAGATCTATGACTCTATGCCTCAAAAGGTTCCGGGTGATTATCATGCTCCTGAACCTGTCAAGCATATAGTGACTGCTGTTCGTCCTCAACTCAACACTTCTGTGAGAGCAAACAATGTGTGTGTCACCCCAGAGACTCTTAAGCCCGTGTCAGCTCAGTTTTCTGCTCAGCAGCCACCTGTAGCACAGTTTCCAGTGTCACCTGCTCAGCAGCCACCTTCAGCTAAGTTTCCAGTACTTTCTGCTCAGCAGCCACCTGTAGCTCAGTGTCCTGTGTTTCCTGCTCAGAAGCCACCTGTAGCCCAGTCACCAACTCCACCACCACCACCACTTTCACCTCAAGTTCAGTCACCCATAGCTCAGTCTTCACCCCCGCTATCCATAGCTCAGTCGCTACCACAGCCAGACTTATTACAAACTCTGTTACAGTCCATGGCCCAGTCGGTAGCTCAGTTGGTAGAGGAATCGTTAGCTTTATCATCGGTTCCATCTCCTCCTGTTCTCCAGTCAGTTCCGTCTCCTGCATCTCAGTCGACCTTAGTGCACTCTCTGGTATCGCCAGCACCTCAGCCATTAACACAGCCTGCTTCTCGGCCACCATCTCCACCCACTCACTTTCAGGGGGAGAATAGCCCCACACAGACTTTCATTGCTCCTCAAGACCTAGCTCAATTTGGGACTTCTACTCTCTCCAGGGCCTCCCTAGAGGTTAAATATCAGCATTCAATTAACTCTGGACCCCTGGACATAAAGAAGCCAGCGCAACCTGTTTCGTCCCTGCCAGAGGCCCGTGGGCACGCTGGTCCTGTTCTGTTCCTGCCAGAGGCCCGTGTGCCTACTGGTTCTGATCTGTTCCTGCCAGAGGCCCATGTGCCTGCTGGTTCCGTTCTGTCCCTGCCAGAGGCCCGTGTGCCTACTGGTTCTGATCTGTCCCTGCCAGAGGCCCGTGTGCCTGCTGGTTCCGTTCTGTCCCTGCCAGAGGCCCGTGGGCCTACTGGTTCTGATCTGTTCCTGCCAGAGGCCCGTGTGCCTACTGGTTCTGATCTGTCCCTGCCAGAGGCCCGTGTGCCTGCTGGTTCTGATCTGTCCCTGCCAGAGGCCCGTGTGCCTGCTGGTTCTGTTCTGTCCCTGCCAGAGGCCCTTGTGCCTACTGGTTCTGATCTGTCCCTGCCAGAGGCCCGTGTGCCTGCTGGTTCTGATCTGTTCCTGCCAGAGGCCCGTGTTGCCTGCGGGTTCTGATCTGTTCCTGCCAGAGGCCCGTGTGCCTGCTGGTTCCATTCTGTCCCTGCCAGAGGTCCCCGCCCCCGCTGGTTTTGTCCCTATGCCCACTGTTCCTGAGACTGTTCTCGCTTGAGGGCCCGAGGAGCCCGCCCAGCCTCCTGCTTCGCCAGCTGGGGGCTTCATTCGCTTCGCCTGGTCCAGCCTCCGCGTCCGCTTCAGCCTCGCCTGGTCCAGCCTCCGCATCCGCTTCATCCTCGTATGGTCCAGCCTCCGTGTCTTCATCCTCGTCTGGTCCAGCCTCCGCGTCTTCATCCTCGTCTGGTCCAGCTCCCGCGTCTTCATCCTCGTCTGGTCCAGCTCCCGCGTCTTCATCCTCGTCTGGTCCAGGTCCCGCATCACCGGCTTCGTTTGGCCCCGCCTCTGCATCAGCTTCGCCTGGTTCAGTCTCCGCATTCGCTTCAGCGTCGCCTGGCCCAGCTTCGGCTTCAGCCTCTGCCTCGTCTGGTCCAACCTCCGCTTCGCCTGGTGCTGCAGGGGCCACGCAGCCTTCGGGTCCCCTACTACCACCTCCACATCGTCGGTCATCTGCCAGGCCGCTTGTTGGGCATCATCACCACCGTGGCCGCCCTCAGGACTTCTGTTGCCGCCACTGCCTTCCGCGTAGCCGGCCTCCAGGCTTGCATTCCCGCCACCGTTGCCGTCCGCATGGTCGGCCTCCAGAACTGCACTGTTTTGGCCTCCTGCGCTGTCGGCCCCCCGAACTTGTCCGTCTGGGCCTTTTTGGACTATGTCCCTCCGTCCTGGTCCTCCACCGCCCGCCCTGGTTGGGTCGTTTTCTGGTTTTTTTTGGGGGGGGGTTTGGGCTGTTTTTGTGTTTCTGTTGGGCTGTCTGGAGCCAGCCCTTGAGGGGGGGTACTGTCATGGTCCTGGGTCGGCGACCCAGCGCTTTAAGTTTATTATTATCATTTTCCAATTTATTATCATGATTATTATTATTGTTTGAGTTCTACGTGTTACATTCGGTCTGCCTCTGAGTCTGCGTCTGTATCTCTGTCTGTCTATGGTGTCACCCCGTCTGTTTGTGAATCTGTCTGTTTAGTTCAATGTCTTGTCTGGTTCCATGTGTCTGAGTTTCCTGTTTTATGGTGAAGGTCTGTATCGTAGGTGAGTGTGCTCAATTTACGTTTCCCCTGTCTCGTCAGCTGTGATTTCTCCCAGGTGTGTTCCCCTCCTGTTTCTTATCCCTTGATTACTGCCATCTGTGTATTTAAGCCCTGTGTTTCTCTGTGTCAGTGTCGCGTCGTACCCTCAGATCATGCCTGTGTGTTTTTGTTCTCCATATTCCGTGTTCACTTTAGTGTTTGTTTTTGTACCAGCAATTAAGCTGAGGATTTTGAGTTTCACGTTTGTGTCTGAGTCCTGCGTTTGGATCCTCCTCTCTGCCTGCCCGCACACAGAGCCCTGACAGTAAGTACAACTCCTCCAGTTTCATATTACGAACCCACCCGAGGGATTAATAAAGATTTATCTTATCTCTCTCTTATCTTATGTGAAAATGCGCTGGCTTATCTAATTGCAGTGCTACCGGGATTTAAAAATAGTTAAGCTAAATGGAGCGTGCCCGCTCTTATCGCTCTTAATTAGCCCATAAAGGGGTTAATTAAGATTTGCATCTTCACTTATTTAGAATCTCTGACATTTTTGTACCTTCTCGCCAAGGTAAGCCTCAGCAGTCTCCTTCATCTTAGTCAGCACCATAGCACAAACCTCCTCAGGAGCAAAGGTCTTAACCTGGCCACCACCAATGTCAACCTGGATATGGGGCTTCCTCTTCTTCTCAGTAACCTTCACAGGAATATACATCAATATTAATTTAACAAGAATTTAGCTCAAACATGACCCAAAGAACCAACAAGTTTTATTTTCAGCTTGAAAGCTCACCTTGAAGGGCAGGTACTTGATGTCCTCCTGCACAGACCAGTCACCCCATGTGCGACCAATCAGCCTCTTTTCATCAAAAATAGTGTTCTCAGGGTTAGAGGTCAGCTGATTCTTGGCAGCATCACCAATCAGACGCTCACCTTCACTGGTGAAGGCCACGTAGGAGGGGGTGATTCGGCTTCCCTGGTCATTGGCAATAATCTCCACACGCCCATTCTTGAACACTCCAACACTGCAAGGAAACAGTTTGAATTCAGTCTGAATCCCATATTATTTTTCCACAGAGACATCATTCCATTATTTAAAGAGCCTGAAGTGACTTACCATGAGTATGTGGTCCCCAGATCAATCCCAATCACAGTCTTCCCAGTTATCCTTTTGTAATCGGCGGCACCAAAGACTGTGCAGACTAACAACATCACAACCCACAACAGCTCCATCTTTGTTTGTTTGTTTGTTCTCCAATCTACAAGGAGAAATGCAGAAAAGAATTACAACATGAATCAACATGGCCTTGAGAACAATAAGTGGTCTACAGGTCCTTCTGAATCAACGAATTAACTCTAAACACCTGCAAAAGATTCCTGAGGCTTTTAAAAACTCCCAGCCTTGTTCATTACTCTAAACCACTTAAGAAGCTAATGGTGCACATATGATTTGCGGAGTCCCAGAACCATAGCAGACTTGAAGTTGGTCTTAGAGAATAAATACTATAAATATATTATGACTGGTGTTTAAGAGTAATATTTGAAAATGTTGAGTGACTTTTAAATGTTTTATTTATTGTTTTTTTTTTAATTACCATTGTGTATAAAATGTTTTGTTTTTAAGAGTAGCTGGCAAAGAAGTAGGTAAGAATTGCAACAAATATTACATCAGTTTTGTGAATATATTTTAGGACTAGACTGATTATACCCTAGGTACAATAACGCGACTACTTCCTGATAAAACGTGTTGTAGAAAATGTAAATAATTATCATGCTGATGATAAATGTTTTAACCCTCATATATACCTCTGTGACACTGTTTCTGAATTTCCCAGTTTAGCTCACTACCACTGGCGCCACTTTGAGTCTCACCTGCTCGATTTTGTTGTTGAGGTCTTGAAAGAATTTCTTTTAGAAATAAAATGGTATAAGCAGCGATAGCCTTCAAGTCCCAATCCCCACCTCTCTTTCGCTCTTTCTGTTTGCTCTCTGTTTGTGCCAGCACTCGGCAAAGCACCTCCCCCTCCACCCCCCAGCTAAACATTTAATCACTTTTAGTACGCAAGTTAGTGGGTGTCAGGTTTCTTAGTAGGCAGGGCAGAGCAAAATGAAACTGCAAATCTATTTCGTCAAAATCACACTGACTCGTGAGATAATTAACAACTAATAAATACATCTGTATTTGTACAGTCAGTGGGAGACTCCTTGCTCTAAACAGTTTCAGTCTTGTAGAGAAGTTTCTCTCTCTGTGAGCCTGTCTGCTGCATAGGAGGACCTGTGTCTGTCAGACCTAACACAAAGCACCGCCCCAGCTTTCAACTCTGCGCTTAGCAGGTTCCTCATTTCAGATACTGATGTAATCACAACAATTTTAGTAAAGTTCTTTCACTTTCGTTACATATAAGAAAGAGGAATGTGCTGATCTTGGCCCATGAGAAGTCCGTTATATAAACCATGAATGTATCAGTTAAGATAGATTTTATGTTGTTGGTTGTTAAGATTAGGATTGTGAGTTTAATTGAATACTTTGACCTCAGAAGTTTCCACCTTTCACGTGACCGAGACTTTCCCACTGACGGGAATCCTGCAGGGATGTATGCCAGGCAGGTACGTCAGAGCAAGGCATACCTGAGGCGTTGTAGCAGGAAGTTCTGTGCCGATAACTCAGCTAAAGGGATAGGTTTGTAAGACCAGCCTTTACTTTGAATCAGTGCAGTAATTTAAGCTTCTTACTGTGGAGATTAACGTGGTAAAAGGTACATGTCTGTGCCTCTTACAATTATCGGCTTGCAATTTTATCTGTGAACGAGGGGTTAATGAAGACAGTTTTATCACATGGATTTATAATTTATAACCTGGTGTAGCTGCTAAAATGATGACTCAATATGTTCTTTTGCCTGAACTGTCTGTATTTTGAGTGGTTGCAGGGCTCTGAGACAGAACCTGCCACTGTGTGCGTGGATGAAGTTTTTATGTGTAATGGTTTACTCTCTCACTACCACTCACTTACCCTTTTCTCCCCACTAAAACAGTAGTGTGATTCCCAAATTTTGGCTCAATAAACAAACAAAGACTCTAAAGTCAGAACAGAAAGATAGAGCAGGATCATTAAAGATTAATGACTGTGTTTTATGATGTGTAGTAAACTATCCTCTTTTTCTCTGTCCTGGTGTGTGTGTGAGTGTGAGTGTGTGTTTGTGTACCTTAGACAAAGGTCAAACTAGGAAAAGTTGCATTTCCTGTGAAAATGCAGTCTGAATGCCGTGTAATGGAATGTGCTAAAAAACAGATGAAGAAGCAGAAATATCTGCTGAAAAGAGTTATAGAAGCTGAAGTGTTTGCTTAAGACAGCTTTATTTGAAAGGGTACACTGAAGAGTAAAACCGTATTATAGATAGCAGATAGTTGGTTTCGTAAACCAACAACACCAACTGTCTCCTATCTATAATCCAGTTTTGAGATCCTTCCCAGACGCCTTAACGCCCACTCACATCCTGGGCCATCTGATCTCAGGAATTCGCATGATAAGGTGGGGCCAGGTTTCACAATGAACTCACCCGAAACTCTGGCTGATTGGGACCCACACCCGGTTTCACACCTTGGCTCAGGCGATTAGAGGATCATCAGGGGGTCCTTTTGTCCCTCTGTGGGGGGAAACTCCCACTAGGTTTATATCTGGGACTCTCCACCATTTGACCTTAGAACTGAAGAAGCTTCTCGGATGAGAGGTGAAACGTCTTCAAGTAACTTAGAGAAGTCCAGACGCTTTTCTTTCCAAGCTCCCTTAGACTGTTGGATCTGTATGTGTTGTGATTCAATATTGTGAAATGCCTTGCAAAACAAAGTAAGGTACACTTATTTCATGTTCTTTAAATAATAATGAAAGTACACGGTAAAAATGCTTCAGAAAGTCCTTCCTACTGTTCTCTACATATCTGGATGATGACTCTTGTCCCGAATTCTTTGATGTTGGGCTGAGAACAAACAACCAATACTCAGAGCAGGTCCAGTCAACAACAGTTATTTATTAAGCACATATATGTGGGCGATCCACACGACACCACCCAAAGCGCAGTCCGGTAGATCTCAAAGAGCAAGCACTTTGATACACAGTTTTATATGTCAGGGTTCATGCGTAAGCAGATAACATAACATGCATCAGTTACAATTAGTGACAACTAGATACGATTCCTTTTTTGGTGATCTTCTACAAGTACTTAGAAATGTATTTTCCTAACACTCTTCAGTCTGTCGCAGGTGAACTCACCTGTCAGCCACAATAGCCCAAACACTCTTTGTATTTTCCCTTCATGCAGCTGTATTTAAAGTGTTCATATTATTCATTAATGCACTCTGCACTTGTCTCTTATATCAGTCTGACCTAAAGATGGGTACCGGTATCCGGTGCCATGATGGCACCGGTTCTGACACAAACTGTAGTAAACAGACAGAAAAGCAGCGCACATTTCGGTGCTTTATTTCGGTGCTTTTTTTTTTCCTGAGCTGTGATACACTTTAGATTTTAGCCAATCATTTTACATTTCCAAGGATAGTAGGCGGGTCCAGGTACGTACGTTCTTTTAGAGCAGAGCAACAGATTAAAAATGCCCAAGGCTAAGCGGTCAAAAGTCTGACTGTATTTCACAGCAAAAGATGCAAACTCAGCAGCCTGCAACAAGTGCTTTAAGCTGATACTGTGCAAAGGAGCTAACACCTCAAATCTGATGAAACACCTGGCGACGCATAGCGTTTTTTTTTTTTATTAAAAGCCGAGAAATGCACCATATTTGATGGCAGCAGCAGCCGTTCTTCTCTGCGTGAGTAGCTTAATGTTATTCGTGTGTAATTTACGTTTAGTAGGCTAACCACATTATTACATTAATGCATGTAAGATGAACTAGCAAACATCATCATAGCTACATGAGGCTGTCTTCTTGTTTGATAGCAGATACTCCCTTCACCCTGGCCAAAAAGGCTAAAATGACCAAAGAAAAAGTGGAAAACAGTTAAACATGAGAGGTTTAGGACAAAGTTTGTGTTTTTTCCATTGTTTAAGCACTGCTTCCAGCCAAGAGTGATACCATATATGCCCCATAGCTGCAGAAAAGGCTAACATTGTTATCTTTTTACCAAAAACAGCTGAACATGAGAGGTTTTTGGACCAATTTTGTGTTCTCCATTCTTTAAGCACCGGCACCGTTTCAAAAGTACCGGTTTGGCACCGGTATCGGATAAAACCTAAATGATACCCATCCCTAGTCTGACCCTTATTGTTCTTACCAACTTAATTTTTACATTTGTTTTTTTTTTATTAACTGTTTATTGTAGACTGAACTGTTTTTACTCTTCATCATGCTGCTGTAACACAAACATTTCCTTTGTGGGATCAATAAAGTATCTATCTATCCATCTGCAGTGACTGTCGTGTTCATGGGCTTTAGTGAGATAAATGTATTAGATCAGGGTCTTAGCATAATTTATACTTTTTGAGTTTGCCAAAGTAAGAATTTACCAGTTGTAATGTGAAAATTGAATGTGAAGATAACTAAATTATTACTATTACAACAATTACCTACCAGGACATTCTCCGTCATAGATGCAGTGCTGAGCAGGCCTGGTCTTGCCTGAAACCGAGCAAAAAAACAACACACACAAAAAAATCGAACCCCAGTCGAAAAATAGCTTTGAAGGTTCAAGGCACAACGTTTATGTATGTGGGCTGATACATGAGTTACAAAACCAAAAAGCAACAACTAAGACCAGACTATGAAAGTGAATATAACTACACTCAACAAAAATATAAACGCAACACCTTTGTTACTGCTCCCATTCCCCATGGGATGGACGTAGAGACCTAAAATTCATTCCAGATACACAATATAACCATCCCTCCCAAACAGTGGTCACAAATCAGTCCAAATGTGTGGTAGTGGGCACATCTGCTATATTGAGATAATCCATCCCACCTCACAGGTGTGCCACATCAGGATGCTGATCTGACATCATGAGTAGTGCACAGGTGTACCTCAGACTGCCCACAACAAAAGGCCACCCTGGAATGTGCAGTTTTGTCTCACAGCAAGATGCCACAAGCAATGAGGGAGCGTGCAATTGGCATGCTGACAGCAGGAATGTCAACCAGATCTGTCGCCCGTGCATTGAATGTTCATTTCTCAACCATAAGCCGTCTCCACAGGCGTTTCAGAGAATATGGCAGCACATCCAACTGGCCT